ATGGGGGCTTTCGATTTCTAATTTTTGCTCATGGTTAAGGCTCATTTAAGTTTATTTTGTGAGTCTAGTAGTTCTTTCACTTATAGTGTCTTGTTTGCCTCATGTTTCCTGTTTCAGGATTCTGAATAAGAGGCAGAGAAAAGACTTCAGTAACTTTTCTATTGGTGCAAGTGGGTAACAGTGTATTGGTTCAGATATTCTTGACTCTCTAGACTTGCTATGTTTGGAGCGAGTACTGACAAGAACCGTAGGTCTTGAAAACTTGTGTAAGTCTAGAATAGGCACAGAGTCAAAGAACAAGTTTTCCATACTCATAGTAATCTGTGCCATGAGATCTTCTGCTCCTTGATTGGTCTCTTAGATGGAGTCATGGGATAACAAACAACAGCATTGCAGAGGCATTAGGAATGCCGCAGTCACTCACAGGACAACTATCTGTATTCTTAACTGAGCAGCTTCCTATATAGATAATTAGCTGTTTGAAGTGAGTGTTAATTATTTCAGAAGTGTGGATCTCCTATACTTGAGCTCCTTTCTAGCTGCTGTCAGTTTTTCTGCTGCCAACCTGTGACTCATGAACAACTAGGATCTCTTGTTCTTTCATTTCAGGGCGTTGATCTAGGACTCAGATCAGTAACTGGGTAAATACAGGGTGCTGAAAATGTTGGTAACCATACTGCAATACACCTCAAGGAGAGGGTTCAGATTTTTATTTTTAAAATGTGTTTCTTTTTTTCTCTTGAATTTTATATCCATTTATCCACTCACATGTCTAGCCTACAGAAAGGGTTATTTATTATGAAATGGTCATTTTTCTGAAGAGAATATTTTGCTTGAAATGCAAATGACTGAAAGAGATTTGTAGGTTGTTGATTTTGTTACTTCATACTGGAACTTTTAAAAAAGTTTTCATCAAATAAAGTTTTGTTTTCTACTTTTAATCATGTTGGTGTTATTGTGCATTTGTTTTAGGTAGGGAGCAACTTTATAACTTTGGAGTATATGGTAATTTGTCACTTCTGCTTTAGTGTAAGAAACCCTCTTCAATCATTTAAATCAATGTAACAATATGCATTATCATTAATATAATTTTAGATTTCCATATGATTATAATGGGAAATAGGAAATTGCATTCTCATATTAGCTGGAAACAAACAAAACTGTAATTTTTGTAGGTCAAACAGTGCTGAATGTAAGCTCTTTCATGTAGTGTAGCTGAATATTTCAGAGAAGAGGATTGTAGGAAGAGTCGAGGAAAGGAGAAAACTGCAATATAAGATATTAAAGAATAGAATGAGCCTAGAAAAGGAGGGTGAGTTTATTCAGTCTACATCCTGACCATAGCCAAATGAAAAAAGAATATATGTGATGATCTAAAAACTTTTCTTACAAGTGTGGTAGCTATTTAGAGCAGTGAAGTTTAGGTTTAGTGGGACTATTTCTCCAGAAACAGTAGACAAGAGTTACTGCATTCTTCTTTGAAAGCTTGTAACGTTCTTGTCCTATTTAAATTCTTGGTTAACTCTTCTTACAGTCAAATATTCTTACAGTCTTCAAATATTAGCTCTGTACTTAACTAGCATTATCAACTTTAGGTGAGTTAAGATGTTCGTCTTTCCTCGAGAAGTAAAATGGGAAAATGGTTTGCAAGAATACATAAGCTAAAACATGTAATATTTATTTTATTTTTATTTATTTTTGGTTGTACTGGGAATTGATATCCCAGCCCTCTTTTCATTTGTTAAATTTTGAGTCATGGTCTTGGTAAATTGCTAAGGTGTCCAAGCTGGGCTCAAGTTTGCAAGATAATCTTCTTGCCTCAGTCTCCATGAGTGCTGGGGTTACAGGTTTGTGTCACCACACCTGGCTACGTGTATTGTTTAGAACAATGCCTTGTAGATAGAAAGTGCTAGCTACTACTCTAAAAGATTTATATTTTACTGTTCAGATTATTTATAGATAGTCCTTTAAACATCATCTCAAGGAACTAATTCCTTGTGAATTAATTATACACTTTTTAGTTGCTGTTCCTTCAAAACCACTTATAAAATAAGTGTTGCTTTTGCTGGGTGTCACAGCACTTGGGAGGCTGAAGTAGGAGGTTGCCACAAGTTCGAGTCCAGTCTGGATTACATAGCGAGACCCTGTCTCAAAACAAACAACAACAACAACAACAAAAAACCCCAAGAAAAGAGTATTGTTTTGTTTTTTAAAGTATTTACAGTACTCAGATGTCTACACTAGCTGTTTGTTTTTACCCAAATCTCAGGCAGAAACAAAAATGTTCATTTAAAGTAAATCCTTTAACCGTTTGTGTTAGTTACTTTTCTCTCTCGTTGCTGAGACAAAATACCCGACACCTGAAGTTAAAAGGGAAAGGGTTTCTTTGTCTTACAGTCCCCTACAGTCTGTAGAATTTTTAGTCCCTAATCAGCTGACTCTAAGGCAGGGACGACAAACAGGCCTGGCAGAGCAGAAACAACAGGTGCACACTAGGCAGCAAAGGTAACAAGAGGGGTTAACAGCATCTTTGTGTCCCTTCTATCATCTCATTCAGACTACCAGGACTAGGGCGGGGCCAAAGTAATCACTCACATGTCATGGTTTAGTAATCACATGACCTTAATCCCAGTGTCACAAACTCCAGATTCAACTACCTCTGAAAAGAAAGTCCCACCTCATCTGCATGAGACTTGGGGGGAAATCTAAACACAAACCATGCCACTGTTCCTTTACCACCACTGTCACTGTTACAAAGCTGTGTCCCTCATTAGGCCAATAGGGCACAGCAGCTATAATTCTTTCCAACTTGCATTCTCTCAGACACCGAATGGCTCAGGAAGCTGCTATATGATCCATTATACTCTTCAATTTCACCCACAGCATTTCCATCCTACCAGTCACTCAGCTAACTTGAGAATCATTTTCTAGTAGATGTTTCATGTTAAAACTCAGATCTCAGAATGACCCTGAAGTTGGTAGCATCCCCATTTTGTTGGCAGGAACTGAAGAGCTCTCTTATGAAGAAGCATGCCTACTATCAAAGTACCTTAGTTTGCTAGAGCTGCTATGACAAAATACCACAAGCTTGGTATCTTAAAAAAAACACAAAAAAATAGTTTCTCACAGTTCTGTAGGCTATTAGTCCTAGATAAGGTTTTGGAAGCTTGGCTTCTCAGTTCTCTCCAATTTACAGATAACCACCTTCTCTCTGCGTCTTTATATGGCCTTTTCTCTGTGTGGGAATCCCTGGAATCTCTGTTCAAATTTCCTTTTCTTTTTTTGGTACCAGGGATTGAACCTGGGACCTTGTGCTTGCGAGGCGGGTGGTAGAACCACTGAGCTAAATCCCCAGCCCTCAAATTTCCTTTTCTTTTAAGAATACCAGGCAGACTGGATTAGATGCTACCCTAATGGCTTACGATTGATTGATTGTGGTCCTGGGGATTGAACTGAGGACCCTGAACATGCCAGGCAAGCACTGTGCACTGAGCTACACCCTAGGCCCTTTATGACCTCATTTGAACCTCCCTTTTAAGTGTGAAAGGTTAGGGCTTCAACATAGAAATTTCAGTGGAGTTCACAATTCAGCTCTCCACAGTTATTATATGGTTCGAATGAGATGGGAAGTAACATCTACTTGACATCTAAGCAAATTCTTGCCATAGGGTAGAAGTGCACTGGAGAACTTTAGGCTGGAGGCTTGAGAGGTCATTTAGGCAGCATTTCTAAATTTCTGCTGTTTGTCTGAAGACAGTTCTTGGTTTCAATAAATTTGTAGTCTACTATGGGAAAGAGACAATAATTAAGTAGGCAGTTATATTACTGTCAGTAAAAAATAACTCGGGACAATTTCTGTGGATCACTTTTCCCACAAGGGAACTGTGAAATGCACTTTGTAAGATTCATTATTGGTCAACATGGCTACTGTGAACCATTTGTTTGGACAGAAATGTTTTTGCTAAAAATTATTTTGTGATACATTTGTATTACACAGAAGTGTTTTAAATCAACCTTTTTACTTAGTTTGAGTCTAGTTTCAATAGCTCAAATGTGAACAAATGTGCACGCTAATACTATCATTTATAGTACTAAGTAAGTGCTTTGCACATATCGCCTCTAATCCTTACTTTAAAAAGCCTGAAGGTTGGTTTTGTGCTGTTAAAGATGAACAACAAAGCCCTGGACAAGTGTGACTTCGGCAATGCTAAGGACGATCGTTAGGTACGGCTGAGATTTGAATCTTTTTTTAAAAATTGAGTTTATTGGTACATTTTAGGTATACAGTACAGTTACATTCATCACTGGGATCTTGTACCTTTACATGACAGGTCTTGGTTCTCATTTTTTCCCCTTGTCCCTGCCCTCCCTTCACCTCCTCCCCCCTCCCCGTTTACAAACATTTTATTTCCATTTTTTCATTTTCTCATATTTTTTTCTTTTCCCTTATTCCCTTTCCCCTACCCTTCCCACTTTCCCTACACCTTTAGCCCTTTTCTTCCTATTTCACATTGTTAATTATGAGATCTGAATCTTGACCCAAGTGTTCACAAGCTAGATTTCCCTGGAGCTACTCTGGGAATTAATTTTTCGTCATTTCTGACCACAGACTGTGAAAACCTACGCTTTAGACGCGGGATAAAACTAAAAAATATTTCAAGGGTAAAAGTGAATTGTATTACCATCAGGTTACTACATGCTCACGTAACCAGCAGCTTAAAGACACCAAGAACCCACCTCTCTATTCTCTTTACGTTTAACACAATACTTAGCCTTTACAACTGGCAGCGCAACGGGTAGACACTGACACTGAAAAGGCGGGTAAAACTCCTTACTTCAACCTTATGAATATACTTTTTAATAGCGACACGCCGGCAGCAAGGTGACAGCTCAGACCTGTCCAGGTGCCAACCCGGCGGGGAGCAGATCTCTCACTTCCGCAGCGCTACAGACGCAGCAAATATACGTCATCGAGCAAGGCGGAACTTCCTTACGGCGCATCATGTTCGACGGAAGGCGAGAGGTTCCAATCCGTGTGGGTTTACCGACCCACCCGCGGTGTAATTGGTGGCTCGGTCTTCTAACGCGTTCCTGGAGTAAACGTTTGGGCCGAGTCGCTGGGCGAGAGCAGGCTCGGCTCCTCCACACCGCCGGCTATCCCTGGTCTGCTCTCTCTTCCTGGCGGCGGTGTCAGCAGAAGGGGAGCGCGTCGATGGGAGTCCAGGGGCTGTGGAAGCTGCTGGAGGGCTCGGGCCGGCAGATCAGCCCCGAGACGTTGGAGGGGAAGGTGCTTGCCGTGGGTATCCGCGCCTGCGCACTCGGGCCCGGGCTGTCGGACCGGGGGGCGGGGTGGGGATTGCAGGGCGATTTCCTTCTGAGCTTTCCTTTCCCCCAGCTCTGGGTGCGACTCCTGGTCTCACCTCCGAGGGCCTCTCTGCTCCAGCTGTCTCCTCTGCAAAGTGGAATTGATGATAGTATCTGTGCACAGACTTGGTGTGTGAATTCTAAAGGAATTCCTTAAATGAAAGGAGTCTGGGACAGTGCCAGGCACCGTCAGTACTGTGAATCTTAAACGTATCCCGGCGGGAGGTCAGCATTGGAGGGAATTCAGTAGAATTCTGGCCGTCGTGATCGACTTTTTTTAGTACATGTTTGCAGTATATAATGATTTCATTCACCGTGGGTATTTGGTACATGGATATAACACCTCTTAATTCTTTTTACTTGCCTTTTCCCCTCCTTCCATCTCTCGGTCCCTTTCCCATTCATTTGCAAAAGATCTGTTTCCCGGCTTCCTATTGTCATTTATGAGACCACGCGATATTTAAGCTTGTGTGTCCTGTTTGTTCCACTTAACTTTCTCGACTCGTGTGCGCTCTTCCTACAAACGGCTCACCTTTGGTTTTGCGTGCTCTTTTTCAGTCTTGCTTCTTGTATATGTGTTTTTTTCTCCTATTTATGTTTCTTAAACAGGAGGATAACGTAGATAGGTGCTTGCCTTTTTTTTTTTAAGAGGTATGGAAACTTTTATCCTTTGTTTTTTGGGAATAAGTTCAGGTGATAAAACTTTGGAAAGATTTAAAAAGATATACATTATTTCCCTTCCAGCCCCTGTGATCGGCTTCGTAAGGGCGATTGTGTGTATGTTTGGCTGGTTTTGTTTCTTTGGAATTACATTTTTTCATTATGAAAACAATACCATTTTTGAAGTTTTCTTTTTTTTGTTCGTTATGTAATCTCCCAGCCCCTTGGCTTAGGCATTCTTAGTAGCTGGTGCTAATTCAAACCAGTTTCAGGAGTTTCCTGAAAGAGGACCAGGAAGTTATGTAAATACAGTAACTGCTTTTGCTATGTGTCCGAGAATGAAAGACTGGCGTGTGTTGGGCAAAGAAGCCATTGACTGAGGAAGCACGCTATTAATTTTAAAAATATAAGGTTATTATTTTTTGCCAAGTGGATAATTTGCAACTGTATTTGTAATGTATTTAAAAGTTTTTGTTCAGGTGCCTTGAGTTGGGTAAAATGAAAAGTAATTTCAAATCCGTGAGATATGTTGCTCTCTAGTGCTCTCTGTTTGTCATTACAGTGTGAAGATTTCTTGACCGTCTTTAGGGTAATTTCCAAAAATCCTTAAAACTTTAGCAAAGATTTAGGGTCATTTTACATTGCAGCTCTGATAAAGCATTAAGAACTTGTAAGAATATTGAGATGACAACTGAAATTCAGCATTCTAATGTTTTAGGATGTCAGAGCAAGGAAGGGTAAACCATGTAGTTTAAGAGTATGTTATGTAAAAGGTTCCGAGAGCCCCATTTGGGATGGGACGTCATTTTTATGAGGCTGTTAGGCTTTCTGAAAGCATGAGTGGTTTATCTAAAGACGACTGGCAAAGATATTGTAGCTAAAATGATGATCACACATACATAATATCTGATTACTTACAGTTGATTTTTCTTTTTTGTTTTCATGGGAATTCAAGCATCTAAATTATAGATTTTGTTGTCTTGTTTTTTAAAAGAATTTATCTACAATTCTAGGAAGTTCATAACTTGTTTTTGGCTCTCTAAAAGAAAGTGTTTGGTTTTTGAACTGTGTGGATAGTTGAGTCTCTTTTACAATTAAACATCAATTAACATACCACAGTTTAACTTTTGTCTCTGATGGACCTTAATATTGGTGAAATGGATTTAACTATATTAGAAATACATTACAATATGCTGTGCACTCAGATGAAGATTTATTAAATTTTAGACTACCTAACTACATGATTAAGAAAACATTTTTTTTTGTTTTGTTTAAAAATGTTATTGGCTCTGAGTCTGAACTCTAATGTAATGTTGGGCCTTGCTTCAGATTTTAACTTTTCTAGTCTTTGAAGAAATGTAAAATATTTGATTTTTGTAAACAGTGAAATTAGAATGGTCAGATTATATATATATATATAAAAAAAAAAGCTTGCTGGATTTTATGTATTTCTTCTCTTAAGAATTTCAAGCTGGAATTCACACCCCTCACTGGGACTTGGCACTATGATTAATTAAACAAAAAAAAAACTCACCTCATTTTCCATAATATAGTGTTTAAAATGGTTTTGAATTAGTATTTTAAGCATATGGCATTGAGTTATCTGTGTTTCAAAAGCTTCATATCATGTTTTAATAGATAGCAAGGTTGAGAGCCACTGATCTGAAATTATATTTTCTCTAGTATAAAGTTGAAAGTAGTGGGCTATGTAGAAATTTATATATTCTCATGTCCTAGTTACTTTTCTCATTGCTGAGACAAAAATACCCGATACCCACAAGTTAAAGGAGGAAAAGTTTATTTCACCTCATAGTTTGTAGAGGTTTCAGTCTGTAGTCTGCTGGCTCCAGGGCAGGGTGGTGCGGTGCAGGAGAAACAGTCTATGGCAGAGTAGGCAGGAGGCAGCAAGCCATAAGCAGAAGCAGCAGCGAAGCAAGCCTCCCTTTCCCTTTTATCACATCCAGGCTACTGGCCAGGGTGGGCCTTCCCATTATCCATACCCGGAACTATGCTAATTCAAATCGGTGGACTGAATCAGTGGCATCACACATCCTAAGTACAGCTAGCTCCAAAAAGCCCCCCCCCCCGTGAGTGCCTGAAGCTTTGGTGTGGACAGCTAGATACAAGCCATAACATCCCATATGGTAGAATACCAGACAGAAACAACCTAAGCAGAACATTTATCCGATGCGGCATGAATTTAAGATGACACCAGCTCCTACGTCTAAGGACCTGCCCACTTCTGGTGTCCACCACTCCTATCCACTTTTGTGTGGGCTGTTGCAGCTGTTTAAAAACCTCTGTGTTCCCTAGGGTGATCCTTTACTTTACAATCCGGACACCATCCAGCTGTGTACGCTGTGACACACACACACACACACACACACACACACACACACACACATTTTCCTAGTGTCTTGGCTGTGATTCACATAGGACTAATATTATAACAATAGCAGGTTTCCACTGCTTGTTTTGTGACATGGTATAGAGTCAGTTAATTGTCGGTGGGCCTACGTATTTTATGGTAGTAAAAGGCATTCATTTAAATATTAACCGCCTTGTTGAAGAGCAGCTCTTTATGCCTCCTGTAAGTCCTGTGAAAGGGCAGGACTCTAAGAACATGGAGCTCACAGCTTGTTTTCTCCTGCCCTAGACTGTAAACTCTCTAAGAACGAATGCTGTTTTGTTCACAGCCATCTATCCTGGTCCTCCCCACCCAGGGTTTAGAAAAACTCCAACTACATAATACTCTTGCTTTGAGTAAGATGTATAATTAGTGGTCTTAATCTAACACACACACACACACACACATTTCCCTAGTGTCTTGGCTGTGATTCACATAGGACTAATATTATAACAATAGCAGGTTTCCACTGCTTGTTTTGTGACATGGTATAGAGTCAGTTAATTGTCGGTGGGCCTACGTATTTTATGGTAGTAAAAGGCATTCATTTAAATATTAACCGCCTTGTTGAAGAGCAGCTCTTTATGCCTCCTGTAAGTCCTGTGAAAGGGCAGGACTCTAAGAACATGGAGCTCACAGCTTGTTTTCTCCTGCCCTAGACTGTAAACTCTCTAAGAACGAATGCTGTTTTGTTCACAGCCATCTATCCTGGTCCTCCCCACCCAGGGTTTAGAAAAACTCCAACTACATAATACTCTTGCTTTGAGTAAGATGTATAATTAGTGGTCTTAATCTAGGCTGGGGAATGCCCCGTAGGCCGAGTAACCCTAACCTCAGAGTAGGAGTCACTAGGCCCTGAGAGCCAGCAGAGGACACTGTGTGACGGAGCTTGGGGGCTGCAAGCTTAGTGATTTCCAGGGTTTGATAAGAGTGTGATGGCTGGAAATACAACTGGAGAAGTGAACACAGGGCAGGTCATCCCGAGCTTTTGTAGATCATAGGAAGAGCTTTGAATATTACTCTAAAGGCAAAGGTAAACTTCAAAGGGCTTTTACTAATGCCTTAGTGCTTTAAACGTGTTCGAAGGTAGAGCTGGTAGGACCTTGTGTGGTTGGGCGAAGGGACACTTAGGCTGACACTGGAGTTCGTCTCGGGTGGGAGTTACCTGTGCCTAGCTGGGGCCTGAGCAGCCTCACGGAGAAGACACTGAGTTAGTTTGGGTTGTGTTGAGTGTGAAGTGTCTGTGAGGTGTCAGGTGGAGATATCAGCTAGGCTGTCCTGTCTGGGAGGAGGAAGTTCTAAGGAAGAAAGCCACAGAAAACACCAGTGTGCATGACAGGAGCAGGCTGGACTGAGAGCAGCAGACCCAGCAGGGTGCTGCATTGGTCTTTCTTCCTGTCCCCCTCTCCTTCCTTTCCCTTTTGTTTTTTGAGACAGAGTCTCCCTGTGTAGCCCAGGCTGGACTTGAACTTGCAGCAATCCTCTATCCTCAGCCTCCTAAGTGCTGGGATCCCAGGTATGCGCCACCACACCTGGCTCATCCTTTTGGATAAACACAAAATACATTTTAAAGAAAAGTTTAAAAATATGTGAAAACTTCAAGAAGAAAATATAAATCATCTTTAGCTTTAGCATAGAGAATTAGTGCTTTAATATCTGATCTGTTTTTTTATAGTTGAATATATTACACGTGTTATAAATGCAGTTATGCATTTTGTGACTCATTAGACTTCCTTCAGAATTATTTTTTGAATATCTTCCTTGTCACTAAACATGCTTCTGCAATTTCTGTTTTTAAGAGCTCTGTGGTATGCAAGCAAATCAGTATACAGTAATTTAGTTTTTGAAAAGACCTGTTCTAAAGCTTTAAAATTATTTTTTATACTTTACCATTATATACAAATATTCTTGTAGCTATCTTATTGTAAACCCACAGTGATTTCTTGAGCATAATATCTGGGATGGAATTCATAGATAAATGAGAATACAAATATTTAGGTTTCTTTACTGTGAGTTACCAAATTGTCTTCCAGAAAAATGTGTACTAGTTTACTGATTTTTTAAAAGACGCAATTCTTTGTCGCTGCACCTTTTTGGAGGATGTCTTGCATGAATTTAGAGTTCAATATTTAAGTTGCAGTAAGGGTTGGTTATAAGACTAACTGACCTTCTGTAGCAGGGCCAGAGGGTTTCAGAGTGGGGACGTGTGCTTAGCATGCAGTGTTTGGGGACCTCAGAATCAGGAAATTAAATTGTGTGGAAGAGGGAAGGAGTTCCAGAATGTTCTTCTTTAACAGTTCTCTCAGATATTAGCATTTGGCTAAACCAAGCCCTTAAAGGAGTTCGAGATCGCCATGGAAACTCCATAGAGAATGCTCATCTGCTTACTTTGTTTCATCGGCTCTGCAAACTCTTATTTTTTCGAATTCGTCCTATTTTTGTATTTGATGGGGATGCTCCGCTTTTGAAGAAACAGACTTTGGTATGTATCATTGAGTCTTATTTTCTCTTTGGAATGTTAGTTGAATGCCCTTTATTTTCTTTTAGTGGTGCTGGGGATTGAGCCCAAGGCCTCTACCGCTAAGCTTCCCCCTTTTGGAATTTCAGAAACCAACTTATTTTAATACATAGCCACTTTAATTTCAACTGCTTTTTAAAATTTAATAGAGCTGGGGATTTAGCTCAGTGGTTCTGCCGCCTGCTTCACAAGCACAAGGTCCTAAGTTCGATCCCTGGTACTCCCCGACCTCAAATTAATAGAAAAGTTTTTCTTTTTAAATGATGTATATATTATGTGAGAGGACATCAGGGGAACAATGATAAGAGTGTAACTTTTAACTAAAACTACTAGAATTCTTACAATTGAGAGTTTTCCTGGTAGAATCTGTTTAGGTGTTTCACATTTTTTCTATGCTGCCATTGCTTGTAACATTATGGGGAACCTACTTAGGAAATGTGTCCCTGAGTGTGGGATTGAATGTGCTTAGTGATGTGGGCCTTCTTTTAAAGGTGAGTTGGGTTTTTAGGAGTAAGAATGCTGTGTGGTACCAGGTGCTGACCAAAATGGGTTATCTATGAAATAAATGGAGTGTGATGGAAAAGAATGAGAACGAGTTTCTTTATTGTCCTAAAAGTAGTTTTAAAAAATGTTCAAGCAATAGAAATGATTATATCCTTTTGGACAAATGACTTTTCTATGTTGAAAATGTCAGCTCATCATTTTATAATTATACCAGGCATACAGTATCTAATTAAGTGGTGATGAGGCTAAAAGTAAGAATTTGTAAATGCTTGGACATTTGTTGCCTCTGTAAAAATGTGTAGACTTGAATGTTGTAATTTGCTGTTATCTAAGGGATCCTCTGTATCAGGTAGATTTCAGAAAGATTAGAAAAGAGGATTCCTTGGTTATTTGTGTTACATTCAACTGTAAGCACAGAGACTTTTTTTTCAGAGACTTCTATTTATCCCATATTGGACATTTCTTATAAGATGTTTCTATAGATTTTAGGAGTTCTTCTGACAGAATCTTGAATGTTGAGGGGCATAGTTACGTACAAATAATGCATTTTTTTATAAAAAAAGGAGTACTACTTAAAGCTTAAAGAATAAACTAATATAGTAATTTTGGAAAACATTTACTTGATTATAAATTTTAAATTTCTGAGGGTGTAGGTATTAAAAGCCATTTAACAGAAACAAAATAAATATTTTCTCAAACATTATATAAGTAATAGGTAGAAACTGGGTGCCCTTAACAGCATAAACTTAAAGATATTTATTGATATAACCATTGCCTGGAAACTCAAGCAAACCAAATTCTGTGGGGACAGAAAATCACTGAAATGTTTTTAATAGACTCTTAGCTTGAAGACAAATCTTACATGTTTTCTGTTTATAGGCAAAGAGAAGGCAGAGAAAGGATTCCGCATCCAGTGACTCCAGAAAAACTACAGAGAAGCTCCTGCAGACATTTTTGAAAAGACAGGCGATCAAGTCTGCCTTCAAAAGCAAAAGGCAAGAGAAAAATGACATTATTTTAGAGTCTAATTTAAAAGCATTTGATTTTTATATTGAGTTACTGTGGTTCTCTTTCCCTAATTTTAATTTTCAATAGAAAACAGAGTGAAGTGAGAGAAGTCAGTAAGATGTCATGGGACCTGGTAATCTGAAATTGTCAAAACTCCTTCTATAAAGGCTAATACAAAAAAGCTGTGATGTTTCACATCTCGTTCCTCCCATCCCTTTATATTTAATTTTTGCAGTGCTGGGGGTTGAACCGAGGGTCTTGCACATGCTAGGCAGGCACGCTGCCGTGGAGCTGCTGTACACCCACAGCTTGACCTCTTCTGTTTGTAGAGCTCCTCTTCCTGGCAGTAATTGAGGCTGTGGCCAAGGCTCCAGGAGCCGGTGTGAATCCCTCCAGGCTGACTTTGTTCAGCTTCCAAGGCAGTGGTCCAGGGAGAGCTGGGCCAGGAGGGGGCGCCACTGCCCTGGAGCAGGGTTTGCCAACGCTGTGGGAGAGGATCATTGGCTCAGAGTACTGTCGGGTCCAATCTGTTTAAAGTTATGTGTACTTTTCAGAAATGAAGCCCTACCCAGTCTTACGCAAGTTCAAAGAAAGGATGACATCTACGTTTTGCCACCCTTACAAGAGGAAGAAAAACACAGGTAAATGTGTGTATAAGAAAATTTCACCACTGTGGTATTCCAAGAGTTAGGCCTTCTTGTTTTATCTGTGTGAGAAGCTGTGTGGGAATGGGTTAGTGAAGCTGAAACACCCATTGTCTGTACCCTTTGGAATATTTTTCAAAGACTAAATTTTGTATTTTCCACCTTGGCTTTGTGTTTTGGTAATCTGTGATTGATTATTCTTTTTCCTACCAAAGAGCCTCTGTTGACCTATGGATTTAAAATGTGGAAAGACATGAACTTTGGTTTTTCTTACACTTCACTTACACTTAGCACCTCTACCTGCTTCTTACTCAGTGTTGTCTTTCTCACCCCCATGTAAAATACCACACACGGCGTCCTTTTGCTAAATCCAGTAGACTTCTCCGCCCTTGTGACACTGTGTCCTGTCAACCCGATCTGCTCTCGGCATCTTTCCGCTGCTTGTCCTCAGCTGCCTCTTGCTCTGGCTGGCCGTTGTCAGCAGCTTCTTGTTGAACTATACACGGAGAACCGAATCTGTCCTTGTCCTCAGGGCCCCAGACGCCCTTTCCCAGGGGCTCCTGCGCAGAGCAGGCTTTGTGTTGGTCCAGTTCCCCTCACTGCCATTGTGGCCACACCTTCTTGGTCAGGTTACTGGAGTGGTTCAGACTCCCGGAGTGGTTACTGGAGTGGTTTGCCTTTGATCTTACCCCTTCTGCAGTAACCTCTCCCTGACACATCCAGTCTCTGCTTTGTAGGACAGAATATTTTTGAAAACCACACTGTTATTGTCGTTTCCTTTCTTAAAACCTTTCCCGGCTTCTCATTTCTTCAGGCTGAAACTTCAGCCTCTTAATTGCACTGCTCCGCTTCACCCTCCCCAGACAGGCTTTCCTTTCTTTGTTTCCAGATACTTACAGTACTTCGTTCTTCTGACGGGCAAACTCTTCTCCAGGAACATTTTCCTACCCTACAGCTAGCCTTGCACTTACTTGTGGCTGACTCTGACCAGAGCAGTGGTAGGAGATTCCAGGAAGCTTTATGACTCCCCAGGCCAGGGGTCGGCCTCTCCTTATGCCCCAAAAGCAACCTGTGCTTCCCCTTGCGGAACTTTTTAGGCCGTATCTAATTGCTCACCACATGCGTCCCCCACACGGCAGCGACACTACTGGCAGTGTGGGTCTTGCTATCTTAGTCTGAGGCCCTGTAACTAGGAGCACCTGGTACTCCAGGATTAGTTTTGTGAGCAGTCATTAAAATCAGAGGTATTGTAGACATGTGCTTGACTTTCAGTTCAGAAGAGGAGGAAGAAAAAGCATGGCAAGAAAGAATGGATCAGAAGCAAGCATTACAGGTATTTAAATCATTTTGGAATTGAGAATTTTTTTGTTGTTTGAATTGAATGGCACGAAAATGAGTAATACCAATGAGTTAGTGTGAATTTATGAAGATTCCAATGAATGACTTGCCTTTTTATTATGTACTTGTATATATGTGTGTATTTATGTGTGTATTACACACATATATGTAACTTACCATCATGTACATTTATACACCCAAACTGTTTCCTTTTGCCATCAACCAGTGGACAAACCAGTAATAAATAGTAACACATGCTGTGTGAATACAGCAAACATACCATCTGTAAATAAGTGAGATATCGTGTTGCGTTATTGTAGGTCATTCCCCCAGTTATTCATATAGTTGAATGCGTGTGTGTGTGGTTTCTGGGGACTGAACCCAGGGCTTTAGCACTAAGATTCTGTATTACTAAGGCAGCAGATGATAGCTGGCATACGAATGGTGGCACATGCCTGTCATTCCAGCACTCTGGGAGGCTGAGGTGGAAGAATCTTAAGTTTGAGCACAGCCTGGGCAACTTAGTGACTTAGCAACATGCTGTCTCAAGATAAGAAGTAAGAAATCAAAAGGGCCGGGGATGTAGCTCAGTGTGAAGGCCCCGAGGGCCTTGCACTTGCTCATCCTTCAGCTTAGGATACTCTGTCCCCGGTTAGCATTCCTGGTGTTCTTCAAGTCCCTGAGAACAGGTCCTTTTTCTAGTAGGGTTTTCTCTGTCATACAACTGTTTTCTCTTCCTGTCCTCCTGACCACTGTTTTATCAGATTAGCTTGTTTGATATCATCTTGTTTATTGATTTACTTATCACGAGCCTTCCTGACTGCTAAGTAAGGTCAGGGCCCTCACCCAGCACGGTCTGCACAGGACCCCAGTGCCATAGTAGAGGCCTAGGCCTTGCAGATGCTGCTCAGTGTTGCTCTTCCGCAGGAAGGAGTGAACGAAAGAGGGGATGCCTCGCCCACTCTTCTTCTTCACTTGGATGCGTGCTGCAGGTTATGCGCTCCTGTGTTTAGCTTCTTGTAGACTGTGGAGAACTGTTGATGACGTAAACACAATCTATGTCTGTAACAGTGACGAGGACTTAGTGCGTGAAGTACAAATGTCATGGCATTGTGTTTTGCTCTTTTCAGGAAGAGTTTTTTCATAATCCTCAAGCAATAGATATTGAGTCTGAGGACTTCTGCAGCCTGCCCCCCGAAATAAAGCATGAAATCTTGACTGACATGAAAGAATTCACCAAGCGAAGAAGAACATTATTTGAAGCAATGCCAGAGGTGAAATATACAATAACACACAAGTGTACATTAATGCTTAGCATTGAGAACTTCAGAACTTTTCACTGGAATGAAGAGGAAACCTGTAAGCAGTACTTATCTCATATCTCAGCATCGATGTATCTCAGAGATCTCGTGAAGCATCATTTTTTGTAGGTTTGAACTGATAAAAACTGACTCAAATCAATCTTGACTTTCCACCCAAGACGCGGTCTTTCCTTATCTGTCTTCGTAGAGAAACCTGTGGTGTTGCTTTGTAGTTCTCAGTGCCAGAATGAGCCTGTCTCGCTCACTTCTGTCTTCAGCTCTGAGCTCAGTATGCGATGAGTGCCCCGAGTCCTCAGTTAGTTCACTGAACTTCAGAAGTTAGCGGCAGGGTGACATTTAAACGCAGTGGGAAAGTGTGTCCTGGCTTGACATTCCAAGTGTATTTTCTTCTGCTGGAGATGCCATTGGGCCTCCATGTTTCCTCCCCTCTTTCTGGACATTGGGAATAGAGCTTCTTCAGCTTGGAGCCTCATGGTGGACTCACAGCCACAGGAGGCTGGAGTGGGGCCGGCTCTGGGGGCCGGTGTTGTTGAGCAGGTCTTGACCTTGCTACCTACCATTCGTTCCTTAATTCCATGCCACCATTAATTACTCACCCACTTTAATTGTTCTGAATGAGCTCTGTTTTCTGTCATCACCACCTAGTATTTCTGATATAGTTTCTTTTAACCCACTCTAGGACAGGGTGCAAATTTTGCAGCCTTATTCCTAATGAATTGCTGTAGTGCTTTAAAAAATTTTTTTGCTTTTGATTGAAAACACATTTTAAGTAGTTTATTCCTTGCTCTGTGTTTGGGGGGCATTTGGGATTTGCATTCGTTGTGGAGGGTTGGTACACGTACATAACATATCTTTAACCCTTTTCATGCTCCTTTCCCCTCACCTCCCTCCCCCTCCTGCCATTTCAGGGTCCCCTTCCCTATTGCAAAAGCTCTGTCTCCCTGCTTCCTATTAGCTAGCAAAAGTTTTTAAACTTGAAAAAAAAACTTTTGAATACTTCTGAAATTGATACCAGAAGTCTCAAAAAAGTCAGACTGTCCTATCACATCCTTGTTTTTCCACGTAGAATGTGAAGACAAAAAAAAAATACTGAGGTGCGCAGAAATGATATTTTTGAGTTTTGGATTTTATAGGAGTATACTTATTTTTAATGCAGGGGAAATACTCCAGCCTCCATCTGCCTATCAGGCATTTTATTAGTGGGAAGGATCTCTGGTTAGTACTTGAGGAAATGGAGTTTGGGTTATGCAAACATGAGTGCGAAGGACTGGAGAAAGACTGCCCTAGTGACTATATCGTCTCTATTCTGTTTCTGCAACGGTAGTGTCTCGGGTTGGCAGGCTGTAGGGTAATGTGGGATAGTGTCCGACTGGATCTGTAATCGTGATGGAGTAGAGAAGTTCTGAGTCATCCAGGTGGGATGTTTGTACCCTCTGTGTACTGTGCAGATGGGACACTGATCATAGGAGTGGTGGTAAGTAATAGTGATAGTAATGATCATAAGGAATAGGCTCCAGGGTAGCAGTTCAGTCTGCCTCGGATCCCAGATCTGCCAGTTATTAGCTACATGCCTCCAGAGTTACTGAACTGATTCAAGTCTTGATAGCCTCATTTTTATTTATTTATTTGAGACAGGGTCTCACTAGTTGAAATTAATCTGGATGGAACTCAGTATATAACACAGGCTGGTCTCGAACTCACAGAGATCCTCCTGTCTCAGCCTCCCGAGTTCTGGGATTACAGGCGTGCACTGCTAAGCCCAGCCTTAGCCTCATTCTTAGAATGGAAATAATGCTGTGTCTCCTTGAATGATTCTGAGAATAACTTGTGGTGGTTTATATAAAAATACCTAGACGAATGCCCTTTATGGGAAGTGCTTTATAACCGTTACTATTATCATTAATAGTTCTGATAGCTGTGATTTACGATCTTCTGTGGGCCAAGGGCACGTACCTGACCTGCATTCTAGAAGATTGTGTGTTAAAGCCATAATCAGATGTCATAATAACCACCACACTTTACGTGCTTGGAGCATACTTTGAAATAAATATACAGCACTCATGATTTCTTTTGCTCAAGTCCTTTGTTTTGAATGCACTGTTAAAAGGCAGTTATAGTTTTTGCTAGCATTCAGCTTTCACTTTTATAAAACTACCACTAATGAAAGGAGGGAATTATTTTTTTACCTTTTTGGGGGAAAGAGGAGAAATATGGTAATATGTGTATTCAATGTAAGACAGTTTTATTTATTTCACCTGTAGGAGTCCAGTGACTTTTCACAATACCAGCTCAAAGGCCTGCTTAAAAAAAACTATCTAAACCAGCGCATAGAAAATGTCCAAAAGGAAATGAATCAGCAGCACTCAGGACAAATCCAGAAGCAATATGAAGATGAGGGGGGCTTTTTGAAGGAGGTGGAGTCGAGGAGAGTGGTCTCTGAAGACACCTCACACTACATCTTGATAAAAGGTATTGGGCACCGTTGTGTATATGACAGTCAAAAACCAAAATAATGTCACAGCTCTGTGGTTAGTGAACTACCACCTCTGTGTATTTTTTTTTTTTTTTTTTTTTTTTTT